CACTCCCACAGTTTTTGCTTCACTCGGGGAGCTCCCAAACCCATGAGAATCTAGGTCGGAACCTAGGGGAGTTAGGAACTTCATGCAACCCCTTTTCCTAACCCTTTGGCTGCCTCTTCCCAGGTTCATGCCGCCTGGGGTGCTGGCCATGAGCCCAGCCCTGGGGCAGAGCTGGCGGTTTGGGGTCTGCCCCGTGTCAGCCGGATGGGTGATGTTTCTGGAAGATCCTCACCATCCCCTGCCCTCCTGGCCCATGTGAATCCTGCCACCAGCTCTCTGTTCACGGTTTGTTCCCAGGGGTCCAGCGCCCGTCCCACATCCCCCCAGCGCCGGCCAGGCCAGCTGTCAAGGACCGGCGCGAAGGCCACACTGAGCAATGCAGATCCATCCGCAGGGCTGAGCCCTCCTTCCCAGCTCCCCCGCCCCCGGCCTGCCACGTTTCACTCCCTGCTTTGTACCCAGCACAGAATAAAAACGAAGTTACAAAAAAGTGTCTCGGGGACTGAGCGACCCACAAAATCCAGAGCTGCCGCTGCATGTGCCAGCACTGGGGTGGGGAAGAGGGGCAGGATTTCACCCCTCCGGGGAAAGGCTGGATTTGTAGTTCATGCCCTAGGCTGGGACCCTGTCAAGGCTGTTCCCCACTCTGGCATGACAAAAGCAGTAGTGGGAGCCTGCAGAAGCAACCCCAAAACCTGATCTCCCCCCCCCGCCCCAAATCCTAATACCCAGATTTTGGAGAATAAATACCGCTGCCACCGCCCAGGTAATCCAAGTAAACCAGGGAAGAGATCACATGGGAAACCGCCCCCCTAAAAAGCTCAGGGAGATCTCTAGCTCTTTCCCCCAAGAGTTTGAAAAAGAAAAGAGAAAATACGAGCTGCAGTCGGTGGTCGCTGCCCCCTAGTCAGAGGCCTGCAGCTACCCAGACACAGATTTTCCAGGGCACAGAAATGAACCAATGGCAGGTTAATTAAAAAAAAAGAAAACAAACTTTTAGCACCAAAACAAAACTCTAGTTGCCAGCACAGTGACTAGATTGAAAAGAGCCACCAATTAATCTAGATACTCAGGGGAATCCCGCCTTGGGCTCAAATCTTAGTTACAACAGAGAGGAAAACCCCACGTAGAACAGCTCAGACATCAATTCCACATTCCCAGCACATAAAACAATAAAACCAGGCTAATAAAAAAAAAAAGAAAACAAACTTTTATTATCAAAACAAAACCACCCCCATCCCATCCCCCCGTCTCCTGGGGGCCTGATAAAGCCCCTGGGGTCTACACGAAAATCTCCGCCTTTGTCCCCTGGATAAAAGAGACGATGAGGAGGCAGCAGGCCGGAGCCAGACTGTGACCGGAGCAGCACTGCTTCTGTGATTTGAAGGGGCCCGAATATAGATGCCCCGCCCCCCTCAGGCTGAGGCGCCCCCACTCCCACAGTTTTTGCTTCACTCGGGGAGCTCCCAAACCCATGAGAATCTAGGTCGGAACCTAGGGGAGTTAGGAACTTCATGCAACCCCTTTTCCTAACCCTTTGGCTGCCTCTTCCCAGGTTCATGCCGCCTGGGGTGCTGGCCATGAGCCCAGCCCTGGGGCAGAGCTGGCGGTTTGGGGTCTGCCCCGTGTCAGCCGGATGGGTGATGTTTCTGGAAGATCCTCACCATCCCCTGCCCTCCTGGCCCATGTGAATCCTGCCACCAGCTCTCTGTTCACGGTTTGTTCCCAGGGGTCCAGCGCCCGTCCCACATCCCCCCAGCGCCGGCCAGGCCAGCTGTCAAGGACCGGCGCGAAGGCCACACTGAGCAATGCAGATCCATCCGCAGGGCTGAGCCCTCCTTCCCAGCTCCCCCGCCCCCGGCCTGCCACGTTTCACTCCCTGCTTTGTACCCAGCACAGAATAAAAACGAAGTTACAAAAAAGTGTCTCGGGGACTGAGCGACCCACAAAATCCAGAGCTGCCGCTGCATGTGCCAGCACTGGGGTGGGGAAGAGGGGCAGGATTTCACCCCTCCGGGGAAAGGCTGGATTTGTAGTTCATGCCCTAGGCTGGGACCCTGTCAAGGCTGTTCCCCACTCTGGCATGACAAAAGCAGTAGTGGGAGCCTGCAGAAGCAACCCCAAAACCTGATCTCCCCCCCCCGCCCCAAATCCTAATACCCAGATTTTGGAGAATAAATACCGCTGCCACCGCCCAGGTAATCCAAGTAAACCAGGGAAGAGATCACATGGGAAACCGCCCCCCTAAAAAGCTCAGGGAGATCTCTAGCTCTTTCCCCCAAGAGTTTGAAAAAGAAAAGAGAAAATACGAGCAAGCTCTTTCCCCCAAGCGTTTGAAAAAGAAAAGAGAAAATACGAGCTGCAGTCGGTGGTCGCTGCCCCCTAGTCAGAGGCCTGCAGCTACCCAGACACAGATTTTCCAGGGCACAGAAATGAACCAATGGCAGGTTAATTAAAAAAAAAGAAAACAAACTTTTAGCACCAAAACAAAACTCTAGTTGCCAGCACAGTGACTAGATTGAAAAGAGCCACCAATTAATCTAGATACTCAGGGGAATCCCGCCATGGGCTCAAATCTTAGTTACAACAGAGAGGAAAACCCCACGTTGAACAGCTCAGACATCAATTCCACATTCCCAGCACATAAAACAATAAAACCAGGCTAATTAAAAAAAAAAAGAAAACAAACTTTTATTATCAAAACAAAACCACCCCCATCCCATCCCCCACCCCCAGTGACCTCACACTGCTGCAGGTACCGCCCCCATCCCATCCCCCACCCCCAGTGACCTCACACCTGGGGGTTTGCTCTCCTTTGTAATTAAGTCCTGCCCGTTGTGGGGTTCCCCCTCCCCATGCGGATATTAATTTGTGACTTTTCCAGCTAGTCATTATACTTGCAAGAGGAATATTGTGGTGATACTAAAAGTTCTTTCTCTTTTCTTTTTATTATCCTGGTTTTGGTTAATTTTTGTGTCCTGGTTTGTACTTTAAGGGTGCAATTTCCCAAGTGATCTCTTCCCTGATTTGTCTTATCATTACTTTGGAGGCAGCAGTGGATTTTATCCCCAAAATCTCGGTTTTTAAGATTTTCAGGGGGAAGTTTATACCAAAGCCTGGGAAGGTCAGGTTTTGGGGTACTTTTCAGATCCCCACTTCTGCATTTATCGGGCCAGAGTGGGGAAGAAGCCTTGACAATGTTACTGACCCTCAGCTTACTGCACTTGGTACCAGGATGGGCCACCCCAGCTAAGCACGGTTCTAGGGGCTCTGCTGTGGGGGGCATAACCCCGTTGGATCCATTCTGCCCCCCGCCTGTGCGGTGGGTTTCCAGGAAAGGAAGGGGTAGAGGAGAACCTATCCAGTGGAGGAAAACATAACCCTGCGCCCCCATCTCAGCTCCAACCCAGGTGTTGGAGGAAGAGGCCAGCAGAGCTGGGCCAGGAGATGGCTCTGCCTCTTTCCCATGCGTCACCCACGCCCCCATCCTATCCCCCACCCCCAGTGACCTCACACTGCTGCAGGTACCGCCCCCTTCCTATCTATCTTCCTGCAGCAACTCCATGGGTGTTGCAGAGAATTTCTTGTCTCCATATTCTTGCCTGTGGCCCTCTGATTCCACGTTGTCCTTCTCATGTTTCGGCTGGAGTGGAACGTGGCGCCGACCATGTGGGTGGGGGCCCCCATCCTATCCCCCACCCCCAGTGACCTCACACTGCTGCAGGTACCGCCCCCTTCCTATCTATCTTCCTGCAGCAACTCCATGGGTGTTGCAGAGAATTTCTTGTCTCCATATTCTTGCCTGTGGCCCTCTGATTCCACGTTGTCCTTCTCATGTTTCGGCTGGAGTGGAACGTGGCGCCGACCATGTGGGTGGGGCCATCGCCCTGCCCAACGCTCACGGGAGGGTGGAGCCAAGGACCCTGTGTATTGTCACCGGCTGGGGCAACCTTTGTCCAGATGCTGTGTTGTTGCCTCGCGCACTCCGGGAAGTGGACGTGGTGGTGATTACGGATGCTGCGTGTCCGAGGGACCCCGACTTGGTTTATTGTCGCTATGACCCGTCCACCATTGTCTGTGGGGGGGGGACACAGCCCGGTTGTACGACTCTGCTCAGGTGCCTCCCCTCCTGACTTCAACCCCCCTGGGAAAGTGGCTCTGAGTGATGAGGCCGTTGGAGTTCCCCTCAGGGCTAGTAGTGACCATCAGGCCCTGTTGTGTCAGGCACTGTCCAAGCCAATGGGGAGATTTCTGGTCTTGTCTTGGGGGAAGGTCTTAAGTTTTCTCTGACCTTCTACTCTCGTGACCCGGGACGGGCTGCTCTCTTTCTACGAGGTGTCAGATTGCAGCCTCGATCTCTCTAAATACCCCTTTTGGGTGCCAAAGCATTCTGGATACACCACCCGTTTTCCATAACTGGGCCTAACACCCCAAGATTTTCGAGGGTACCCCCTTTAGTTGGAAGAAATCTTTGGGTATCTTATGACTATTCATTATGAGGGCCAGATGTCTTTTTGGGTGGGAAGATGTACGGAAGCTGCGGTTCACAAAAGGCCATCGGCTCGCGATTGCACCAAGAGATAAAACACCCAGAACTGTTGTGTTAGCAGATTTATAGCATACGTTCTGGGTAAGGCGCAAAAAAATAAACTTGGCCTGACTGCAGACTCTTGCTTCACCCCTTTAAGGAAAATTACAAGCACAAAGCATAGAGTTCCCCACGTATATCTTATTGCCACCAGCCATCTTACAGAACCTGGATTCCGTAGGCCTCTTGTGTTACCAGCATATTTCAAATCTATATTAAAGAAATATAACAATTAACATAAAACGAATATCACATTAGGGCTGTGTCTAGACTACATGCCTCTGCCGACAGAGGCTTCCTCCCTGTACTCCACCCCACCCATCTCGGGGTCCTCTACAGCTTTTACTAGCAACAGATCATGGATACAGGCACAGAACAACCTCAGGAACAGAACAGATCTACATGAAGGTCCATGAAAAACACCCTGGTGGACAAAGATTCCCCCAGAGGGGCCTATGCTGAGGAGGATCAGTGAGTCTGTTCTGAGGTCTTGTTGGTTTTTTAGGGAGAGCTCATTTATTTATTCAAATATCACACGGTGCTTAGGGAACTACCCTGTGAGAATCCACACTTAGCTCGCCGCATCCCAGTCACCTTCATGAACCAGTCTTTTCCCATTGCTCAGAAACAGCAGCAAGGTCCTTGACCTTGGCCTGTTCTCCATAAACCCCATGCTCCACGGTGTGATGGATAGGTGGAGGGCTGGCCAACACTCAGGGTATGTCTACACTTGCACCCTATTTCAAAATAGGGATGCAAATGAAGCAATTCGACATTGCAAATGAAGCCGGAATTTAAATATCCCATGCTTCATTTGCATAATCGCGTTATGGCGCTATCTCAAGTTAACGCTATTTCAAATTAACAAATGTTGTGTAGATGCGGTTATTTTGAGAGAAAACCCTTCTCTCGAAATAACCCTTATTCCTCGTACAATGAGGTTTAACAGTTATTTCGAGAGAAGGGTTGTCTCTCAAAATAACCACGTCTACACAGCATCTGTTAGTTCGAAATAGCGCCAACTCAAAATAGCGCCATAACACGATTATGCAAATGAAGCATGGGATATTTAAATCCCGGCTTCATTTGCAATTTTGAATTGCTGAATTTGCATCCCTATTTCAAAATACGGTGCAAGTGTAGACATACCCTCAGTGACTAAAGGGTTAAACTCAGGTAGCTAGGGCAGGGTGCCAGAAGAGCCAATGGCAGAAGGTGTTGAAATTGAAATAAGAAGATACACCAGCCTGCGCTTCTACTTCATGAGTTTTAAGCCAGGCACTGGGGGAAGGAGGCTGAATTGAACCAGGCTGGACTATCAGGCCTACAAGAATCACTGGGCGTAGAAATGGAGTGGACCTTGAAGCACAGACCTGTGAGTAGCTAGGGAATGTCTAGTTAGACGTGATCCGGTTATATTTTTTTGTCTTGTTGTTTTTCTCGGTTGCTCTGTGTGTCCTATTGAGGTCTGTGTTCACTCTGGCAGCCATGCTATTCACTCTATTTTGCATTCACTGGTTGCTTTGTTGTGCTGTATGTGATTGGTATTGTCTTGTGCTGCTCTGTAGCGACTCTGTGTGTATGTGTGTGTGTGTGTATGCAGTGCCCAGCCGGAGATGGGATCTCTGGGGGGGACCTCCTGAGGCCAGACATGTAGGGAATGCCCCAGACAAGCCTGTCACCTGATCTGAGGGGGAAGATGCAACCAGTGGTAGTCAGATAACACCTGGGATCAGGAAGTAGGACAAAGCAGGAGGCAGGACTACTTAGGTGATGAGCTGCTGTGTGTGGCAGGTAGTTTTTCAGATGGCTTAAGGAGAAGGGAGTCCAGCTGACTTGGAAAGATGTGCAGTGGCCCAGAGCCAGGGTTCTGGGCCCCGTTATCCCCAAGATGGGGTGTAGTGAACACTCTTGATTCCTGTAACAATGGTCCTGTGCTAGGCTGTGTCCCTCTCAACCAATAAACCTTCTGTTCTATTTGCCGGCCGAAGGTCATGTCTGGCTGCGGATGGGGATGAAGGGCCTGAGGATTCCCCTACGCTCCATGACACTCTGCCATATGGTGACCAAGTAGATCTTGTTGTTTTGTTCATAAAAGAATGTTAATATCTTAAAGGGGCAGGCAACTTTTTTTTTTTTTGCTCAATAACTTCCCCCAGCCCCTTTTCCCCCGACTTTTTTTTATGCTCAACCAAAAATCCTTGGTGTGCCTCATAAAATAATGTATCGTTTGGTGTCTTAAAAAGTTTAAGAAACATTCATCTAGAGCTACATCCTCTGTAGCTTTTCAAGGTCAATGAAGATGGATGAACACCCAGCCAGCTCCATTTCTGTTCTTACCCGATTCATTCCAATGGAGGCTGTTCCAGTTGTGATCGATCCAGACCCACTTGGCCTCGTGTAGCTCAATACAAAACCCTGTGCATCCGTACTAGACACATCTAGAGCCCTTCACTTGTATTTGAGGGCTCTTCCACTCGGCACTTGGAGACTGCTGGTTGCTGACCTGACACAGAGGCAGCAGGGTGATTGGTTGGGACCTTCATGCAGACATAGTTGGAGCAGGGATGCTCCTGGCTCTGTGTGATCCATTCCCTGTCGGGAGATGATACCTCCCCCATTGCTCAGGGACCAAATTGACCTTGTTGGGGGCTGATTAACTGAATGGGGCAGCAGAAGTGTCTGTCACTGGAAATCTGGGGGGGAGAGATGCTTTGGGTGTCACGTACACAAGGTCTGAGGCGGGAGGCGGGTATCAGGGAGATCAGAGCCACCCGTCTCTATCTCACACAGGGGACAGGGTGTGGTTCTCACCCAGCGCTGATACTGATCCATGCTGTGCACAGCTCACATAAACAGGATGGGGAAGGGCAGAAACAGGGGCTTGGTTCAGGGACAGCAGCACAGAGATGCCCTCAGGCAGGGTGGGGCAAAGTTTTGGGGGAGCTGAAGAAGTGGGGAAATTAGCCATATGGGGAGGGGCTCGGAGCCACCCTCAGGTGGGACTTCAGGGGCCGTACAGAAGGTCCGATATGGCCCGTGGGCTAAACTTTCCTCCCTTAGACCTCGAAGGAAAACACACCTCATCTCTCTGTGACATCAAGTAATTGAGGAGGGGAAGATGTTATCCACATTTGAGAGGCAGATGGCTGGGCAGGGTCCCCAGTGGCCATGGCACCAGGCCAAGCTCCTTGAGGACCAGAGGAGAGGAAACCTCCCAGCTAGATGGGTGCAGCTGTGACCTGAGAATTGCCCAATAGGCGTCTCCCCCCGTGGGCCATCTCCAGTGGGTGTTCCCGAGCAGACGTGTACGTGGGGCCCTGTGGTTGGCTGCACCTGCCTCCGCTCTGCCCCCGCCTGGTCCATATAAGCCTCAAGCCTGGGAACGGCTCCGTGCCTGGCCCAGGATGGCTCTGACGATGCCGCTCTTGGGGGTGGGGCTGCTCCCCTGGGCCTTCCTCCTGCCCCCTGGGGGCTGGGCTGGTGAGTGGAGGAAGGGGGTTGAGGGTGTGTGGAAAGGGGTCCATGCAGGGTTGGGGGCTGTGGGTTGAGTGAGGGTCTTCCCCTGAGCCGCCTGAGGCCAGGGGGGTTTTGCGACCACCCCTGCAGCCTCCCCTGAGGACCTCTGGGGCTCTCAGCGTACGGGGGATGGGTGGATCAACCCCCAGAGGGCTTCTGTGGGACCCCACTGCCAAGCCCTGCCCCCGACTTGGAGATGGCAGCAGGGCGGTTGGGGAGATAGATGGAGCAGGTGTTGGAGGGGCAAGAGCAGGGAGCTAACGGGAAGGGTTTGGATGTAGGAAACTTGGGATCTTTTTCCAGCTCAGCCCAGGATTTTTGGGGGAAATTAAACCTGTCCGTGGGGCTCTCATTTCCATAGGTTGCTGATGGGAACTGGGCATCCAACCCCCTTAGGAACAGGCTTCTTGGGCCCCACATTCCTGTTATTAAAAACAAAAGCGATGCTGCCTGTGTGTGTTGGACCTGTACAATGTTCGGGGAAGGGGTGAGGGGTCCGTGCAGTGACTAGCCCAGTAATAGGTCCCTGACCTCGGTCTAGCTCCCACAATAAAGCCAATCCCAGTGATTCCTTAGAGGGGAGATTTTCCAACACTCCTGCCCGCCCGCCTGGCGCCTTCTCCCGAGCAGATCCCAGAAGGTTTGTTGTTTTCCTGAGGGACATTCTCGCTTTGCAATTTTCAGCCTTAAAACTTTTTTTTCATCCACCAAAGCCTGAAAATTGTCCCTTTGACATTTCCCAGCATAGGAGAGAAAGAAGTAGGTTGCACAGGGAAAAAAATCTAGCCAGGATCGAGGGCTAAAAGGGCTCCCTGGGGTAGGATTCATTCAGTAAAACTACTTCCCCTGGCGCTGGTATTTTGGGGTATCAGGCGAGGTGCAGCCTAGTATGGTCCCTGTGGGTGGATGGAGAAGCAGCATGCCCTGCTGGGGACTAGCTGGACCAGCCTGGGGTGACTTTGGCCCACAGAGCTGTGAACACAAGGCAGGGCGAGTCCTGCCCCACTCTTGGGGTGGTTGGCACCGATTCTGCCTCCAGCCAGGTCAAAGCTGCAGATTTCCCTTCCATCCCCAGTGTGGGGCAGGTGGCAGGAGGGTCGCCCCGGGAGAGCATCAAGGGGGTGGAAAGAGGCTGTGGGAGCCCCCCTTTGGTATGGGGAGCTCGGTCCTTTTCAAGGAGGTGAGGGAACCCTTCGTATAGCCCTGCTCTCCTTGCAGGGGAGATCGTCGGGGGATGGGAAGCCCGGCCCCACTCCAGGCCCTACATGGCCTTTCTGCGGATACAACATGTTAACGCCACTTTGCGCTGCGGTGGGTTCCTGGTGGAGAAGAACTTTGTGCTGACGGCGGCTCACTGCCAGGGAGAGTAAGTGCCTCTGGGCTGGGACGTGGGGGTGGGTGGAGTCAGCAGGGGAGGGGGCTCTGGGCTCTTTGGTGCTGGTGTGGGGGGCAGGGGAGGGGTAGGGGGTGGCCAGGCTGGGGGAGCAGAGCCCAGGGGTCTGACTTGCTCAGGGGGTGTCAGAGAGTCTCTAGGGGACTCTGAAAGCCACTGCCCAGCCGCAGAGCTGGGTAAATCAATGGGGCTGTGGCCAGGGAGCCCAGATGGGGCTTGGTCCCTCACAGCCCCGGGGCAGCTCTGCAGGGCACTGGCCTGGGGACCGACCCCAGCCTGGATTTGCCTGGGAGGAAGGAGTTGGCTGGGGGGCAGTTGGCACCCAAGCCCAAAGGGCAGGGAAGACATCTGGGACCCGACCTCAGAGCCCCGGGCTGCCCCGTCCCCACAAGGTCAGGAGTTAGGATCCAGAAAAACATGTTTCCAACTTCACGTGCTGCCCTCGGCTTACAGAAAAATCACTGTCACCCTGGGAGCCCACAACATCGCACAACGGGAACAGAGCCAGCAAGTGATCCCCGTGCGCCGGCAGATCCCCCACCCCCAGTACGACAAGGAGACTTTAAACAATGACATCATGCTGCTGCAGGTACCACCCCCATCCCATGCCCACCCCAGTGACCTCACACTGCTGCAGGTACCGCCCCCATCCCATCCCCCACTCCAGAGCAATGATTTAAATGAAGAAAAACAAAACTTATTTAAGTTAAGGACCTGAAGAACCCTGGGTAAATCCTCTTGTTTGCTTATCTCTCTCTATATAAAAATTTTTTCTTGTGGGACAACAGAGTGGCATCATTATGTCCTCGGTTGTGCAGCCTTCCTCCTCCCCCATCTCTGGTGCTCTGGGGAGGCAGGACCTGCGCGGC